CAGAAAAATAAACAAATGTGTATTGATTGGTTAGATTTTACTAAACGAAAATTTATCACCAATGACATTGTAAATGAGGTACTTTTAATTTAAATTAACAGCTATAATTTATTTTGCCATAACATAGACACAATAAAAAAATAGTGCTCATCGACACTTCGTTCGATCTATATAGGTTAAAAGCTGACAATTAATTAATTCAACGAATTTCTTTTCGAAGGTTTAAGTTACCTTATCAGTGACGTATTCAAAATAACTTTTTAGAAACCTTTCATTTTACAATTATAAAGTATCGTTATACCGCAAATATATTTGCGATATTTAAAGATTAAGAAAAGCATCGAATTGCGCACAATGCTTGTATAAATATACTAATTGAACTATGAAATTTCCATCAAGTTTTATCAAAAATTTAGAAAGTGCACAAGACAAAACAAAGAATCTTTTAAAGTTAAGTTTGTGAAAACATACTTGTTTAATAATATGAAGTACTTATTTGTCTCCATCCATAGAATTTGACAACGATCAAATTAAATAACTCTCGATAGGGAAGAAAATAAATCAATTACCTTTACAGCATTATCATTTTTTTAAGACTCTGCCTTGTCAATAACATCTTCCAGTCATCTTTATTCCTTGATCTTCCCTGCATGTTGTCAGCAAATAGAACATAACAAGCTCTGCTCCAAGTCATGGGTACTGTTTGGGCTGATCGTTTCTTTTTGATACTTACTCACAGAGCAAAATGTGTGCAGGGTATTTTTGCTTTAGGGAAACTATTTTGCAAATAGATGGGTAAATTTACGATTTCATGCTTTAACAAATGACAGAAAAGTATGCTGAGTTTTATAAACAAAAACAGGAAAACATCAGTATATTTGGCGTTCAAGTCAGTCTTACAAAATACGATCTTTAATATGTATTTTATGGCTTTTCAAGTGCATGTATAATTGCTTTTCAATCGTCGACGGACTAACCAAACAAGCAACTATCTCACCTGTGAGAAGCGATTAGTTCCTTTTTGTGGAAACTACGACATCCAACAATTGAACGATTGAAGTATTGGCATTATAAAAGAAATGCCGAAAAAGATATCGTCACAGAATATGGAACTAACGATAACCATATTCTGTGATATCGTGTTTGCTTTTGAAAGACTCTTTATAATTTACTATAGATACCAGGGGGAGGTCGAAAATTTATTTTTCTGCAAAGCGATCATTTCAGCGGAAATACGTCCGTTGGCCGCCATTTTTTGGCGTCCTTGCCCCAGTACAGTTAGCCGCTCCAGTTATTATAGAACTCAATGCTGGCTAAGTATAAATTGTATACACGTCAGCAATCTATGTTTAATATATCTATGGTGGAATTGAACACATCCAATCAACATGGCGTATTTTACTGGTAATCTATACAAAAAATGTGATGGAAAAAGATGTGTTACTGATCAACCTAATCAATTCAGTTGCGCAAATTACTCAAAAAAGGAAGAAATATCAATTCCTTTGTTTCCTAACAAAGAAAATGAATGGTAAAGACGAGGGAAATGGATAAATTTAGCGGGTAAACATTGATAAACATTGGCGAACTTTGAGGCTTTCTCTATCTCTATTGCTTATTCTGTACGTTTTGAGGATTTTTGTTTCAATATTAATTTGAAAGTGGCGAAGAATATTGACGAAAAATGCATCCGATCATTGTTTTTGCTGGACATTACGACATAACTACTTGATTTTTGCACAACTCGAGGAAACGGATTCAGACTATGAGTTATCGTGTCAAGCTGATAATTGTTGGAGGCCATACTTCAGCAATAGTTTTTCTTACTATATTCTTTTTAATTTTTAAGAAAAATGTGTGTATTTATTTGAAAAACAAGAAAAAGGACAATCAAAAGATTCAAATCACCTAATGTTTCTATATATTATTTTATCACCGGAAGCAGACGTGTTCAACTCTACGTGACAAGTGTCTTTATGGCGTCGTAAAATATTCGCAAAAAATACCCAACTTTAGAGGCAAAATTAACGAACTTATATTTGCTTGTTTAGTACCATCAACATATCATAGTCCTTCAAATAGTCCAAATTTTCATATAATTGAATAAAAAAGGGGGGCTAAAATTCGTAATATAAACACGTTAATGGATCAAGTAGAGTTTCTATAGAAAGGAATGTAATGTTTTTGGGCCTACAGGCTCACAGATACACAAGACACGGCTGAATAACAAATGCAGAAACTCTGTGCATAGATCTAAGATTATCATAGATCTATGTTGATATATGACAGCATATTTATCGATTTAATTTTCTATATAAGGTAGGCTACCTGTTATTGCACGTTTAATATTTAATTAAGATATATGTAATATTTAAAATTAAGATTTAGATTTGAACTTGTTGTGTTTAATTATTACAGCTATCATAACAAACTTCGTAATGAAAAACTTTAGGCGTATGCAAAAGAATCTCGGCAATAGGCCATATTGGTTGTTAAACAATCCAAAATGTTCAAGTGATTTTATGAAAGCACAATTCCATCTTCGAACATTTCATTCCTTTTATGGCGCATGCGTAAATATCATCCTAGCAAGTATCTTATTTCGTCAGCGATTAGCGTTGGCTATGCATGTGATATCTGCCAGGCAAAAAATGAAAAGAGCGAGTCTGTTTGTTATCTTTCAATTCTTTTGGCTGCAGAGGGAATATGGTTTTGAACAAAGCCTAAATATTTCATTTGAATTCGTCGGCGCTAATTTTCGTTTTTCATCCCGACGCGTTTTTCTAGTGAATAATGTTTTATTCCTTTGTTTTTTTTTCACATTTTTACTGCAGACATAACGAAATTTGTAGAAACCTTCGTTTTTTTTAATTCTATCTTATATAGTTACATTAGGCACAGAAGCATTCATTCCAAATTTCATTCAAAATAAACTTTAAATTTAATGAATTACGACAAAAATGTTCTGCAACTGGAACAGTTGCTGCAAAAAGAATTTCGTGATCCTTTTCCTAGTTTATGATCACAGACAAAAAGATATTTACATAAAATATGGAGAATAAAAAAATTGTAGTTGATTTAAACGAACACCGATAAATTCGTTAAACGTACTTATTTTTATGGGAAGAAAATGCAAACGGAAGAAAATGATTTTCCTCAAGTATTGTTGAACTCACAAAATTTGTTCTCCTTCATGTTGCGAAGACAACAGGTATCGTCGATTCAATACGAGACTGCCACCTGTACATGCAAATATATTACAAATAAGACACTTGTATCAAGTAAGTATTTTCTCTAAAAAAGTAACCTGATGACACCGCCTCGCAACGCAAAAACCTTGTTCACCAGCTACAAAACAAGATTCGTTGATTAAATTGCTAGAAAAGTATTTGAAATCAGGACAGCTGTGAAAAGAAAAACTTCCGCGATAAATTTGTTCTTTCATAATCACACACAAAAGAAATTCACATAAAAATGTGAGCATAATTAGTTTGTTTAATGTAATAAATCACTAGAGAATGAGTACAAGTATTAAATGTTATTATCAGTATAAAAAAGCAGGTTTTATATCTTTTAAAAGTGAATTATAGCCAAGAAACTAAGTTTCGTTCTTTTACAAGTTAAACAAGTTACTCCAAGCATACGCTGGGCTTTACCTATATTGATAGTTCATTTCACAAAAAAAACTCATTCAATACTTCTATACGATTAATCAAAAACATTATATCCATATGAATTAAAATATTTTTTCGATTTTAATGTATTTTTGAAAAATGATTGCAATAAATATCTGGCAAACGAATCATTTTACATGTGAAAAAGTTAACTCGATGTATTAGAAAGAGGATGTGGCAAAAAGCTCCAAATTATTTACGAAGTAGCATGTCATAATGAGAGGGCTACGTGGCATTTGCTAACAAAAATTATTTTGCATGCGTAAATTGTAATTAAGAATTTTTAATTTCGATATGTACGGCATTGGTTTGATTTGCCCAACCATAGATCGACTACTGATAGCAAATAATTTAAAAGGAAATATTTTGAAGACTTAAGAGAATAAAGCTTGGTACATCATAGCATGTTATGCAAGAAACTAATTTCTTCAAGGATTTCGTTTTTCTAGGTAGATAACGTATCTAAAATCAATCTTTAGAAAACCTTCAATTTTACATACATAAAGTACAACCGTATCAAAAATATACATGCTACACTTTAAAGATTATGAAAAACATCTGATTGCGTAAATATTTGTACGATATGTATATATAATATGTGAACGATAAAATTGCCATTAATTTTATCGGCATTTTACAAAGTGCACGAAACAGCACAAAGACTCTTTTAAAGTTACTTTGTGAATAATATGTTTTTTAATATTATGAAGTACTTATATGAAATATTTCAATGGTTTTGAAAGGAATGGACTGTGTACTAATTTTATATCACAATTTATATTTGCATAAAGAAAGTAATTATATTACACAATTTATATTTGTATATTCGAAATTTTATTTTAATAATATGTAACAAAAGTTCAAAAATTGGTAAATTATATTAACAACTAAGCTTTTGAGACAAAAACTGTCAAATATTACAATCTTATAGGGCAACAATACAACAACAGGCAGAAAAGCGAAACTAGAGTACAGATAAAATAACACATAACTTTGCCGGACTTTCAAAAGGATGCTTTCCTCATCTCTCTAAACTTTACTGAGAAGATGGTCATAAATTTGGCGACCATAATACAGCTGTTATTTGTTTCTTTGAAACGTATTCCGAATGCCGCCTTAATTATTATATCCTTTATACTGATTTTGAAGGAACCTAAATGGATCAAGTAGAGTTTCTATAGAAAGGAATGCAATGTTTTGGTCTTACAGGCTCACAGATACACAAGACACGGTTGAATAACAAATGCAGAAATTCACTGCATTGATGTAAGATTTACTTAGATCTATATTGATGTATGGCAGCAGGTTTAACTATTTAATTTTCCACATACGTTAATTTTCCTTTTAAGGTAGGCTACCTGTCATTACACGTTTAATATTTAATTAAGATTTATGTACTGTTGTGTATAACAACTTGTTGTGTTTAATTTATATTTCTTACAGCTACGTTTACAAACTTCTTAATGAAAAACTTTAGACATATGCAAGAAAATGTCGGCACTATTGCTTTTGAAACAATCAAAATGTTAAAGCCATTATAGGAAAGCATAGTTCCATTTTCGTACATTTCATCGTTTTTATAGCGCATGCGTGAAAAATCACCCCAGCAAGTATTCTATTGGTTCAAAGATTGGCGTTGCTTATGCACGTGATCTCTAACTGGCAAAAAAAGAAAGGGCGAGTCTGTTTGTTATCTTTCAATCGTTTTTGTTGCAGAGAGAAGATTACACGAAGCTTGTGTTTGGTGAAGAAATATAAACGTCAGTGATCTTTATCTAAAAACGATAAGACATAGTTAAATCAAAGGTGGGTGAAATCATTTATTATTCTTTATATAAGAAAAGTGTCTTGATGAGCATTTACAGTTTTCCAAATGAAAAGAATTAAGCATTGCCACGAAAAGGCCAAATAAAAACAAAGTGCAATAAACCACAAAACTAGGAAAAGATATTTTCAGTCAAAGATTCTGACAGCAACTAGTCTTGTTTTGAAAAAAGTCTAAATATTTCATTTGATTTTGTCGGCGCTAATTTTTGCTTTTAACCCCGACGTGTTTTTGTTAAGAATATTTTATGATACCTTTGTTTTATTCACATTTTAACTTCAGACGAGACAAAATATATAGAAAACATCGTCTTTTGAGTTTTATCTTAAAAAAGGACATTGGACACAGATTAATTCATTCCCATCTTTCATTCAAAATAAACTTTAAGTTTAATGAACTATGACAAAAAATGTTTTGCAATTGGAACAAGTGCTACAAAAAATTTCGTGATCCTTTTCGTAGTTTAGGATCACAGACAAAAAGATATTTGCATAAAATATGGAGAACAAAAAAATTGTTGTTGATATGAACGAACACCGATAAATTCGTTAAATGTACTTATTTCTATTTGAAGAAAATGTATACGGAAGAAAATGATTTTCTTTAAGTATTGTTGAACTCATAAAATTTATTCTCCTTTATGTTGCGAAGACAACAGGTATCGTCCATTTAATATTATATGCCACCTGTACATGTAAATACATTAAAAATAAGACACTCGAAAAGATTACTTTGATAACACCGCCACGCAACGCAAAAACCTTGTTCATCACCTACAAAAGAAGGTTCGTTGACACTACGTTAAATAAACTACTAAAATAGTATTTGAAATCGCAACAGATGTTAAGAGAAAAACTTCCGCGATAAATTTGTTCTTTCATGCTCACGCACAAAAGAAATTTACATAAAAATATGAGCACAATGAGTTGTGTTTAATTTAACAAATCACTAGGGTATGAATACAAGTATTACGTGTCATTATCAGTATAAAAAATCAGGTTTTATATCTTTTAAAAATGAATTATAGCCAAAGAAACTAAGTTTCTTTTTTTTTACAAGTTAAACAAGTTACTCCAAGTATACGATAGGCCTTTACCTATATTGATAGTTCATTTCACAAAAACTTCCTTGATTAACAATTGCCCAACATAAAATATATTAAGTATGAGTGAAGATACTGATATGGTGATACTGTTTTCCTGTCAGAAGAAAAATCTCCAGGTGCTCTGAGATTCTGGTGTTGTTTATCTCTTTAAGTGTCGACGTTGCTACGCGTCGTATGTAGGTCGTGATGTCACTTCTTTTAGCCAAAATTTTGATATGAACTTGTCTTGTTGAGAAAGCTAAATACTTCGTCATCAATTTGCTGTTCGATGCATGTTCAAAGAGAAAAGAAATTAACATGACAACGGACGACAAGCACGTAGATAGATAAGTTTTATCAGATGTAATGAGTCTGAAAACTTTCTTCAGTTATTACTCAAACAATAAACTCTGTGCTACTTATCTTGTAATGACAACACGTATTGCCGGTCGGTTCTTTACAAGATTCCACCTGCGTACACAAATTGCAAATACGGCATCTTGAGTGAAATGATTGTTTTATCAAAATGATCATTGGCTTAGTTGATATTGCTTCTACAGCTACCATAGAAAAATAGGGAGAAAAAATCTTCAAAAAATAAAACAGACTTTTGGTAGTGGAGATTTTATAACAATCATAAATATTGATGCCATTATTGGAAAGCGCTCTTTTATTATCGGGGGTCTCATTTTATTATTCCAGCATTCCCGAGAAACGGTATGGATCCTATCGTCTTTGATGTTTGTTCGTCTCATTAAAACAAATCATCCCCGCACACGCACACATGAGCTCCTCAACGTAACCATGTTTTTGTGGCCCGTTCACAAGATCCGATTTCTCGGTCCGCTAATTTTGTTGATATTTATATTCGTCTGGATACTTCTAATAGTGGTAGCAGCCATTTATTTCATCTAGAACATTTATTGATACATTTTGCATCTTTATGTCCTTGGTTCCAAGTTTTTTGCAAATCTAAATATGGAAAGTATGGATGGTGAGAACTCTGGGGTTTTTTGGTTTTCTCTGATCTTCGACATCTATATCCGACATTTCAGACTTACTCATCCAAATGTCGTAGGCTCAAATTGTATGTGCTCACACGATCAGTTTTATAAGATACAACAAATCGGATCTTGTGAACGCACCATAATTGTGGCAAATTATACATCAACATATGATAAGCTTTAAAAAACAAATGCAAAAGTTAACTTATCTACCTCACGAATTCCTTGGATATAGATTCGTATGCGGCAGATATTTTTAGCGTTTGATTGTATTCCCCTTAAATATGAGGCAACCTGTCAACATAGACGTAACAAGAACGTAAATTTGGGGGAGGGGGTGGGTGGTGCATATTCATATATTCCGTTGCGTCCAACTGATTTCTTTTGAAAGTGAATTGAATTTCAAAAGAAATCAGTAGGGTGCAACTGAGTATATGAATATGCACACTCCTAATTAACGTTCTAGTTACGCCTTTGCCTGTCAGTGCATACATCTGTCTTGAACATGCATGCATTTAAGAGTAGAATTTGAAAATGCTAAGACATAGAGCTCCACAAAGTATTGATTAGCAGCAAAGCCGAGTAGCTCTGTTTATCTGTAAATTGAATAAAAGCAAACAAAACTGTTTTATTTGAAAATTTTAGTTTAAGTAGATATGGGAGATTCTGCAACTTTAAAAAATGAAGACAGCCAGTCAATTGATAAATCTAAGATATTCAACGATCCAATTCATGGTTTCATCGAATTTCATCCATTGTTGGTCAAGATTATCAACACACGACAGTTTCAGCGTTTGAAAGATATCAAGCAGTTGGGACTCTGTGATTACGTTTACCCTGGAGCAACTCACACAAGGTAAGGTTATTACGTGGAAAACACTATGGGATATGTTTTATAGATTAAGTGGTGAATAGCGCAACTTTTGAAAATTTTTACCCACACAATTTATCTTCAAACAGGTTCGAACACTCTCTTGGAACATCTTATTTGTGTGGAAAATTGATCGATAAACTTTACGAGCTTCATCGTGAAGAGAGAAAAAGAGAAAATATAGAAAAGATTGAAATCACAAAGAGGAACGGTTATGTGTCAAAATAGCAGGTCTTTGTCGTGGTCTTGGCCATGGACCGTTCTCTTATTTCTTCGAAAAGTGTACATGAAAAAGTTTTGTCGTGGAAGTACTGACAATGAGTGGAAACACGCGACGGCGTCACTGAAACTATTTGATGATATGCTCAAGTCAAATCGTGAACTTAAGGACAGTTTTAAAGGAAAACCTTGATGATGATCATGTAAATTTCATTAAAGATCTCATCAAGGTAATGCTAAAAATCATGATAAAGTTCATGCTAGCTCTCATTAGGATTCAAACTCATTATTTATTATACCTTCCAAATTATTACTCCAGTAACACAACTCCACATTTATATTGCAGTAGCCCGAGACTTTATAAATTCTCGTTGTATGCAGGTAAAGACCCCAACAAAGAAGACGAAAAGGTAGAAAGGACATGTCCATTTACAGGCCAACCAAAATGGTTTCTTTATGAAATCGTGTCAAACAAACGAAATGGTATCGACTGCAACAAGTTTGATTACTTTGCCCGTGACTGCGCTAATGTCGGTGTGAAAAGTAATTTTGACTACAGACGCTACTTTGAAAATGTTCGCATCATGTCTATTAACGACCAACTTCAGATCTGCGTACGTGACAAAGAGGTGTTTAACTTGTACGAGATGTTCCACACACGTTGGTCCCTCCATCACAGAGTTTATCAACACAAAACTCAGGCACCAATAGAAGATTTGCTAGCTAGGGCGTTTTACGAAGTCGATAAAATCATGAAAATCTCAGAAGCTGTGAACGATATGAAACGATACACCGTTCTAACAGACAGCATTCTGTATGACATCTTACGAAATGAGAGCGGGAAGCGAGTTGTCAGAAAAGCGCAGGAGTTGATAAGATGCATACAAGAACGGAAGATTTACAAATTCTGTGGTCAGACTGATCTACCGTCGAGTTTCACTTGCCCAAAAGAGGATGAAATCGTCCAAAAGTTGATTGATCTATCAGAAAGAAAATTAACAAAGAACGACATATTTGTTTCTGTAGTGGAGTTCGACTTTGGGATGAAAGATAAAAATCCAGTTGATGCTGTCAGGTTTTTTGATAAATCACGCAGGGAAACGTTTGCGATAAAAAGAGAGAAAGTTAGTAAAATGTTACCACAAAATTTCCAGGAAACTTATGTCAGAGTTTACGCAAAAAACCCGGAACGAAATGAAGACCAGATTCAATTGATTAATAAAATATTTGAAAAATGGTGCGATGATAATGAATTTCCAAAGCCATATGTTCCTAAAGCCTTATGAACTATTTTATGCCACATCTTTCTGTTCTAAAAACGTACTTGACAGTTTCATATAACTTAAACTACATATCTTAAATTCAAAACACCAATGATTATAGACACTTTAAATGCCCAAGTCGGACAATATATATGGAAAAGTAAAAAAATAGTTGGAGTGTAAAAGATGGAAGAACGGAAACAAAGGAATGAATAAATATTGATAAGTATATTATAATCTATGCTAAAATTACTTTATGTTAGAGCAGCACAAAATTGAATCAAAATAAAATGAAAAGTATTATAATAAACTTTCAAATTTCAATATTGAGACGTATTTGTAGTCTAGCAACGTACATGTTATGAGCAAGATCCAGTAAACAAAAAATTGTCGAAAAATTTAACAATGCCTGTAGATATATACCGCCCTGGTGATAATTCGACGTAAACTTGAAAGTAACACTCGCCAAAAATTTTTAAAGTAAGTAAATCGGTCCAGAGCCTCCGACGCCAATCGAATTCAACCTGCTCTAATGCAAAAAAAACATAAATATTACCTTTCATTGTAAATATCGGTTCATTAAACACCTGATAATAAACATTATCAAATCTTGACGTCATAAACACTACTAGCCATAGCCATGTCTACCACGTGAAATACGACGTCACTTGATTTTTGCACATGTTTTATTAAAGCGTTGTTTGACTCCCAGTCGGACTACCAGGTACAACAAATGCGAAATAACAAATAGTTTGAGAGAATAATTAAATTGTAGTTTTCCATGGAAAGGCAGTAATTAGAAATCAATAAGCCTTTAATAACCGAGCTTGAGGTCTTTTTATACTTAGTAGCCAATTAAAGTCATTGAAAGGTTAAGATTTTCCTTTTCCAATTTTATTTTAATAGCATAAAAAAATTCAAAATTATCCGTGACCTGTGACCGATTTTCTTTCATTCCCGTTGGACACCTCCAGAAAGGCCGTGAAAAATTCAAGACAGTACGACTTTACATGCTTAATACTGTTTTACTTCTTGTCATCTCAAGAAAGCTGCAGTTTTATTGTTATATTACATTGAAATTTCAAAATTTGTAGCTCATTACAATTCCGTAATCCGCCATTTCTCCCGTGAAACTTCATGTTATTTATATTTTGTGTGCTAGTGCCAGACCTAATAAAGAGCTATTCCACACGATGAAACTAACAAAATAAGTAAAATGCTTAAAAAAATAAACTTGTGCATTAAGTTGGATTTAAACAATTGTTGCGGAAATAATATTTTAAAAGTTAGAAGCGTATTGTGCAAGACAAGACGCGCTTTTTCTAAAGGTCTGCCTCGAATTCGTCCTCCATATCATCATCTAAAAACTCCTGTTCCTCAACATCATTGTCGTCATCAATATCTACATTCGTGTTTGCAGTACACGACCATACATCTGTGTACTTCACTCCTGCTTTGTTACATGAACATTCTTGTGAGTTACAGCCACGTTACAGCCAGAAATTTCCAAAGAATAATAAATATTCTATTTGGAGATGAGATAAATATTATTTCACAAACAATTTGTAATATAATGTTTTATTCGTTCGTTTTCACGCTTTTATTCTGTGGTTCGTAATCGTAATACCGCTAAATCTCAAGATTTGGCTTGTAACCTAACAACTGTCTTTTCTCCCACATTTCAATGCGTACTCGCGCGAATTCTCGACGTATTCCGCCTATCTTCAGAGGGCGGAACATACAATGCAATTCTATATCAGAAGTTTTGAATTCTGATTGGCTAAGGGACTTTGCGCATGCTTAAATCTGCCGTTTTTATAGTTGAACTTAGGCTATTTTAAATAGGCGGATATTGTAATTATTCGATCTTTTAATACGAGTACAGTGGTTAGTGATTATCAAATTATGAGATCATTGTTGGTATTAACTTTCTATTGTGTTTGCTTTCAAATTATTATTTTGTATTTGTGTATGACACAATAGCTTCAAGTGCGACTGCGAATTGCTCAATTGAAGTTGATTTAGTAAATGGCTTGTTAGCCATAAGGTCTTAACAAGCAAACATGGCGGTAGGTTGTGTTTTATTGTCTCGCGATCAATGTAATCTTAATTGTGATATAGAAAGAATTTATAGTTTTAAAGCTTCGAAATGTATTGCTTATGATGGAAAACGATTAAAATGGCAAAATTTTTTAAAAACACTGCAAGATTTTTTCGAAAATTGCCTTGATCAACGAGGTAAATGGTCATCACCGGGAGGTAGTTCAAGAAAGTTTGTCGGTTCAAGCAATGATCTGGTTTGTACTTAGTACTGTGGTAGACAGAATACTTTTATGTTTCAAGGAGAAAGCGGTAATCAACTAAGATATTGTCTAATTCAAATGTGTGTATCTACAACTTTGGAAGAATTTAAAGCAAATACAAAGGTATGTTGTAGATGTTTACAACGTATTCCTTCCCAAGCCTCAGGTGGAATGACACCTCAATGGTCGAATGTTAACATTAAAGAGTGTGTCGAAGATATTAAACTTGATATCGAAATTCTTCAAAGCCGAGTCGATGCACTTCAAACTTTGGAAAATACCCAATCTTTTCCCCCCGAAGCAAAGGCTCAAATTCTCAGAGATGATATAAGGGCATTGCAAACAGAGTTGCAAGTACAAAAGGATAAAAACATCAAACTTGAATTGGAAATTAAAGAGCTTAGAACGGATGTATTAATGTTAAAAAAGAGATTTGAAAACAAAAAGAATGAACGAGCTATTGAAACTAGAAGCAATAGACATGAATTTAAAATTTGCAATAATTTTGTTCCATCACAATTGCTTAACTCTCTTGATGATCAACTAGAAATATATCGTGCCAAACACAAAAATAATTACACCAAGGCGAAAAACTATTCCGTTACCCTACAAAATTATACTACAATTAATAACAAACAAAATTTCAATGACAAGTTTTCAATGCAAATGACTAAATATCGTGAAAAACAACATGTTAAGTATTCTGCAAATCATGCTGGCATGGAACAACTCCAGATAAACAACTCTGCTGCTACTATCCATCCGGAACAGAAGTTACCAAACCCAGTTGATACAACTCATGATGTCCTTTCTGATCAAAAACAAAATTTAACATCGCTTACAGCAATTAACACCGAACAACTGCCGAGTTCTACTTCTGTTTTCCAAAACTCAAAGCAAAACTACTCAAAGGATGGTAAATATCAAGTCAAATTTAACGACATTAAATATCCACCATCTCAAACACCTTCTAAAAGTACAAAGAAAAACAATTTTTGTCATAAGAGTACCCCTTTTCAGTATTACCATCATCCCCGAACACACTCACATCACCAAGATCTTCGCAAACAAGCTTTTTTGAAGTACGATTATCAGACATCTTGCAAAAGGAAAAACAAAGCAAAATAATGGTTAACATAGCTACACTTTGTTCATCAAACACTGAACGAAAAATAACTACTGTTGAACCGCATGTTGACGTTTGTTCTCAGTATACGACTGGTTTTGGGGCTAAGATGAGGAGGAAAATGGATCGAATGCATCGTGGTTTAATCGCATCAGATTACACAACCAATGATAACATCTTCTCAATTGACGTTCGTATAACCCAGAGAAAACCAATCAAACATATTAAAATAAATAAGGGATACAATACGAATTATGGAAAATGCAACTCTATAGAAATTAAAACTAATAGTAATGATCCAGTTAAAACCTTTCTCCCAACAATCATGCTCAAAAATGCATGTCATATAACTAATAAAATTGATGAACTACAAGGAGTCGTCATGAATGATGGTCCTGAAGTTGTTCTGATTACAGAATCCTGGCTTTCTCCAAATATACCAGATACAGCAATATCGATTAATGATGAATACAAAATATTTCGCAAAGATAGACCCACCCTTGGCAGAGGAGTTCTTACTTATGTACATCAAAGTATAGCTGTTAGTCGTAAGTTATTTGATGAAGACAATCATAAAAAGGTGCTATGGTTAGTGCTTAAACCAACAGCCTCGCCATTTTAGTGCAATTATTGTCGTCATTTTTTATTATCCACCTGGACAAAGTGCCGAAAAAGAACATGATAAGATTGAACTTCAATAAATTAAACTTGACTAATCTATGTAATTGTTTCAATTTAAAAAAATCTATCCTATACCCAACCAGAGGAAAAAACATTTTGGATCAATTCTTGACAAATATGCGAGAGATTTATAAACCAACACAGCATTTACCACCTTTGGGACGTTCTGATCACCAATGCCTTCTATTAGTGCCAAAACAGAAAGAAAAAACACCAACAATTCCCAGAAGGGTAAGACTCTTAACGCCTGGAAAAGTAAATGTCTTATGCTGAAAACTTATTCTTGAAGATTGGTCGGAGGTCTTTAATGTAGAAGTTGTAGATAAAAAAGTAAATGCTTTTACCTCGACGATGCTTAGTATTATGGATGAAACTATTCCTGAGAACACAGTACGAATGCATGCTTCAGATAAACCTTGGATAATAAGCTTTATAAATCAAAGATCAAAGCCAGACAACGTGCTTTCTCTTGTAATAATTAAGCACATTATGAAAAACTATGTTCTGATATCTCAAAACTTATAAAAAACGCCAAAATTTCATATTACAAACGAAAAGCAAAGGACTTTCGTACGACTAACCCTAAAAAATGGTATAAATCAATCTTCTTAATGTTGGGAATGAATAACGGAAATAATGTAAAAGAAATGTTTATGATGAAAATGTACTGGAGCTAGCTGAAAAATTACAACAAGTCTTTACAAAACCTTAGTTAAACCAATTACCTAACTACGAAATTGAAGATAACTTAATCAACCAAACGCTTAAGGATATTAAACCTCCTTTACCATCTATTGGACAGGTCAAGAGTTGTCTACAGCACCTAAGTCCCAGAAAAGCAACAGGAGATGACAAAATTCCGGCATGGATACTTAAACGTTTTTGCAAAAATCTTGCACCAGTCGTACACAATAAAGTAACCACAAGTATAAAACAATGCAAGTACCCCAGCCAATATAAATATGCACTAATAACTCCAGTTGCTAAAGTTAATAATCTAAGCAATATTGAAAATGACTTCAGACCTATATCTGTCCTTCCTCAAATGGCTAAAGTAATAGACAAACTTCAACTCCATTTGAATAAATCAGATTTCAAAATAAAGAGTAACCAACATGCCTTTACTCATGGACGATCTACTGTATCTGCTCTAATATCTATGACACAAAATTGGTATAATGCAACAGATAATTCTCAATTAGGTAGAAAGGGAGTTCACGTATTATTTATTGATTTTCGAAAGGCGTTTGACATGGTGAATCACAATATATTACTACAAAAATTAGCATCAACGGTAATTAATAAGTCTTTCTGGCAATGGATTCGAAGTTTTTTGACCGGACGAACGCAACAAGTCAACCTACAAGGAGCCTTTTCATCCATCCAACCTTGCCCTTTGGGCGTGCCACAAGGCGCTGTCATATCACCAGTGCTCTTTAACGTATATATAAATGATTTAGAGGACAATATTCCTAAAGAAATAGATGCTAATACATGTAAATATGCGAACGATTGCACTCAGAACCAGATTGTCGAAAGAGGTGAATGCAGTTCCATGCAAAAAGTAATCGACGAATTGCGGAAATGGGCTGATAATAACAGAATGGCTCTGAATCCGAAAAAAAACAAAGGATATGTGGATATGCTTTACGGACTCAATACAAGAATCACCCTCCCTATTTATTGGAGAAGAAGAAATAGAAAGTTACTAATTTCAAACTTCCTGATGTAACATGTCAAAATGATCTTAAATGGAATGAACATGTACACCAAATTACATGCAAGGCAAATAAAAGACTATATCATCTTCGACTTTGTAGGAAGTCTCAATTACCTTCAAATGTTGGATTATTAACATATACATCAAAATTAAGACCAGTATTAGAGTATGCATCGGCAGTCTGGGCAGGACTTCCACATTTTTTACAGCAAGAAATTGAACGTGTACAAAGAAGAAGTTTAAAAATTTTACAACTAGATAAAAACTACTTACCCTCCTTGAAAAGCAGACGTGAACTAGCAACTACCCAAGAGATCAAAAGGATTATAGAGGAACCTGATCATCCATGCAAATTTTTAGTACCTTATTCCAAAGAAAATTCGCACGAGTTGCGTAAAAGCAAAACTTATAGTATTTTATCCCGGACCAAACGTCATAAACAATCTTTTATTGCTAGATCTTGTAGATATATATAATAAAGTTAACATGTAATTCTTAGTATATTATGATAAATATATAGAAAATCAAAGTAAATTTATCATACTTTTTAATCTGAAGATGAATAATAGAAACCTTTCAATTTAAAAATTTAAAAAAAAAACATGAAAGACATTTGACTTTGACAAGATTTGAACTCACACCTTCGGGATACTAGTCGGCCGCTCTACCTGTTGAGCTATCAAGCCCACAGGGATTGGAGAAGAGTCAAATCTCTTTTAAGCTGCGAATGGACGAGAGATTCTCGTCAGTCATCCCTATAGCAATTTATTAGATGGCACCGTGTTTCGACTTTATTGCAAAGATATGTAGAGTAAAGATTGATTTCTGTGATGCCAATAAGATTAATGCTAACTCATTATCTTTCAAGCTAATAAACGAAAAAACAACTGCAATTTCTCCTTTTGTGTAGGAAAAGACCCAATCAGAGGCAAGGTGGAAAGGAAATGCAAAATTACAAAACTGCCAAAATGGTTTCTGTATGAAATCGTGTCAAACAAACAAAATGGGATTGACTGTGACAAGTTTGATTATTTTGCCCGTGACTGCGCTAACGTTGGATCGAGAAGTACTTTTGACCATCGACGCTACTTTAAGAATGTTCGCATCATGTCTATTGATGAAGAGCTACATATCTGCGTTCGTGACAAAGAGGTGTTTAACTTGTACGAATTGTTCCACACACGTTGGTCTCTCCATCACAGAGTTTATCAACACAAAACTAAGGCACCAATAGAAGATTTGCTGGCTAGGGCGTTTTATAAAGTCGATAAAATCATGAAAATCTCAGAAGCTGTGAACGATATGGAACGATACACCGTTCTAACAGACAGCATTCTCTATGATATATTACAAAATGAGAGTGAGGAGCATGCTGTCGGAGAAGCGCAGGCTTTGATAAAACGCACACAAGAACGAGAAATTTACAAATTTTGTGGTCAAACTCAGCCACAATCGAATGACTGTCCTTCGGAAGAAGATATCGTCGAAGACCTGTTAATAATATCAAAAGATTCGGATAAAATATCAAAAGAAGAATTGAATAAGGAAGATATATTTGTTCACATACCAAAAATCGATTTTGGAATGAAAGGTATGAATCCAGTTGAAGCTGTTACATTTTTCGAAAAATCTGGCGAAAATGTAGAAATAAAAAGAGAGCAAGTGAGTCGAATGCTGCCACAAAATTTCCAGGAAAGATACATCAGAGTTTATGCAAAATACTCCGAAAAGAAGGAGCAGACTGAATTGATCAAAAAAACGTTTAGGAAATGGTGCTCCAAGCAAAAGTATCCGAAACCTATAGGAGGATAAAGAAAGACTGTTCGAAGTTCTTGTTGCTAAATCACGCTGTCTTATAAATACGCTTGACAATTTCTTAACGAGCGAATCACAACAAAATGTCTTTAGTTCAAAGCACCGATAGTTATATATACATTAAATCCACATTTCACACTTCCAATTAATGAAAAATAGCTAGAATGTAACACTAAAGCACAAGTGAAACAAAACGAGCTATATAATAATCTTCTCCATTCATAGTTTATGTTAGATAAGAACAAAACTGTATCTAATTCAATAAAATGAATAAAAAATACGATGATAAAGTTTTAACCTTCACATGAAGTGCATCTGCAGCCTGGCGATTTGTTTATGAACAATTTGTATAAAATCCAGAACGCAAAAAAATGTCGCCCTTTTGAACAGGTCGATATTTTGCGACATTGCTATTAAATTCAAACATATTGTTACACTCGCACGTATTTTAGAATTTTAGCTAGAATATTCTAAATATTTTGAAAAAATACAACTACATAAAGTGCAAGAGAAAATAAATCAGTAGTTGTAAAAAATGTTACAGACAGATAAGTATTCTGATTAAATTCGAGGCTACGTAGCACTTCATAACAAAAATAATTCAACGTGTTGGTGTAGCAGCATATAGGGATTGATTACAAAGGCCGAGTTCAGCCACATAGATGGAGTGAGACAATTCATTAGTGGTCCAAGAAGATCAAGAGAAATGAAAACTTTTTTGTGAGTATGCGTCCTTGGTTTAACTTTAATAAATGCCACAAAGCCAGTTTAACCCTGATATTTTGTGCGCACGCTGATTGGCTAGCAAAATAGTCAGGTTGCTAGGGTTATAGCTATGCATAAAAAGTCCTTCATGATAAAAAAGAGAAAGATTCTTATTATGGAAATAATATAACTCTATCGGTTGCATAGTTAACGATGATTGGGGGGGGGTGTTAATATTTTTAATGCATGTTTTGCCGTATTGAGCTCCTTTGAAACAAATTATTTCTGGATTTAATACGAAATAAAACATGTCTAGATATGCCCTCAATTACCAAGCTGATAGTGGCATTGTTGATGTTAACGTCATGCAAAAAAGTTAAAAGTGTATAAATGTACAGAAGATCAAGGATTTGAGATCGAAACAATAAAAAATTCGAACGCTGGAGTACTGCTTTAATATCTTGGACAAAATTTACTTTTTCAGCAAGGTACTTAAATGCTATCAAATTTTAGACGTAAACTTCCCACAAGAGCACTATTATTTCGAAGACTGTTTTAGAATGTTTCTTTCAAGTATAATCTATTTTATGATTTTTAAGATTTAGCTATATTAAGCAATGTATACAGTGTATCAAAAATCCTGCACAAATATTGGGAATTTTCATTAGAGAGTATGTATTGCAGAGCGTGCAAAAGACAATAATCAAACAATGTTTTTTACAAATTTGTGATTAACTTTTCACATATTATATTTTTTGTAGATCACTTAAAAAATTTTGCACTTGAAACTGGCTTTCATACAAAATTACAATTTATTTTATAAAAAACGACCGAATTTTGCTTTTTATAAACTATACATTTTGTTATAAAAAAAACCATGTTTATATTAAATTTTATATGACTCAAAGATTATGAAAGTACTTAATGGAAATTTTAGCTGCATTCTACCAAACACACTCTATGCAGTAGGTGAATATACATAAACTCAAATAAAGACCATACGAGATGTGTGCGAGCCACTTTCAATCATACAAATTGAGTGATCATTTCCATCTATTATGTACTGTGTAAAAATAATTACTATTATAGTATTTCATGAAATTTTGTTGATTCAACATCAATTCTTATATTTTTTATACTTTTGTTCATTAAACCTCTGAAGTAAAACCATAGTTACTCCCGCAAAATATAACTTTTCGATTTTATTATTTTGTCATTTCTCTTGCATAACTTACTGCATATGGGCATATAGAAAATGCAGAAAACAATGATGTGCTCAGAGTTTAGATATATAACTCTAAATATGTTATCAATTGTTGTGATTTGTACATTTTTGCATCAATACCCGAGAACAAATTGCATATGTATAATGTTGAGGAAAGCAATGAAAATTTCATCGTTTTTGCTGAGTTTCAAGTTAATTTTATTGTGATGTTTTTATCATGATTTCAAAAGATGGTGAAACAGTAGCTTTGAGTAAAAAAGATCTAATCAATAGTTCACACTTGTAATTAGACAAGGCATTTTATGTACATCACCATGATTGTGAGCATAGTATAGGAATAAGTTTATCGTACCTTTTTGTCTGTTTTTCGTAATAATTTTTTAAACACCGTATGATCCAGAACATATCATTCCCAAGATTTTGTATAATTTTCATGTTTGTTTGAAGGTACTTAGCAAAAATCAATGACGGATAGCGTACCTCTGAAGGAAATTGATGATAATTTGTATTGTGACATTTTTGTTTCACTATCAGTATCTAAAATTCTCATATCTTTTAAAATCTCTCAACCTAAAGTCATTGAATTTATGGAAATTGGTTGAATCATTGGATCATTGATCCAAGACCATGATTGGATATAGTAGTGAACATGACTCGTTTTCAGGTTCCGTAATGATATAAGGTTACAATTGATGGGTGTAGTGGCTGTGATTGGAGCGCTAATGTGCCTTATTAAATTTCGAAAAATGATGTAAATAAAAAAATGCAATTAAAAACAATTTGAAAGGTTTTTCAATGACAGTCGAAGGAGAACGCTATCACATTGTGAAATTTGTCACCTCAAACTTTACAGCAACCACACAAGAAAGTAAACAAAAAGATGGAGAAAAAGTTCAGCAAAAGACAAACAGAAACGTAGACCCAAAGATAAACAAAAATGTAGACATTAACTTAGACACAATATTAGACACAACGGCAGAAAAACTGATTGACAAAGGTGAACATAAATACATAAAAAAAAAGATTCACACAAAGGTAGACAAAAACGTAGACACAAGGTGAATACGGTGCAAGAAATAACGTCAGAATCAAGTATGGAAGATGAATATGTATTTTCAACGTTGACGGCCCAACAAAAGCTGCCGAAATTTAAAGTTAAGATAAATGGTACTCCTGTGTCAGTCATGGCAGATACCGGTTCCAGCGTAAATCTTATAGATGAAGTGAATTTTAACAAATTGAAGAACTGGCCAATATTGCAGGACGCAAATGAGAAAGTTTTTTTTTATGAGTCGAAAAAACAACTATCAATTAAAGGAAAATGCCAGTGTGTGGTCGAAACCGATAAACTATATGGGTTGGAGACATTTTTTGTTGTTAATGGGAATACGGGTTGCTTGATAAGCTAGAAAAGTTCTCAAAAATTGGGCCTGGTACAAATAGTTGCATCCATAGAAGGCACTACAAAGTCTAAACAGGAACCCGTTAAAGAAAAAGCACAAGAAAAAGTGAGAGAAGATACCAAAGTGCTAATTAACAAATATCAAAAGTACAAAAATTTGGTGCCAAGAATACCAAATATAAAGCTTGATGACTACCAATGACACAAATTTACAAATTACTTTTAACAAGAATATCTTCTGCCTACTCATAGCAGTTATACCACCGTTGATTGTATACAATTTCCGTATTATAAAAAATATCAAATGGAAGGATAAAATTTCCATCAATTTTCATCGACATTTTACAAAGTGTGCGAAACAAAACATAGGAATCTTTAGATTTGCTATGAGAATAAAAGTGTTTGTTTGACAATACAAAGTTCTTCTTTGCTGCACTTTGAATTTGTATAAGGTCTGGTTGTGTTCCATGTAAACAAAATATTTGCATACTTTCGTAACAATGTATTTTGGAGATTTCATTAAGATTCATACTACGTATGTCAGCACAACAAGATTTGAATAAACTGCTGTAAATATGTTGCCGTTTGCGTTACAAAAACATTTTGAAGCCATTTTAAAATTTGGCTAGCATAAATAAGTCTAGGGAAACCGATACTTACTATTTCGAAGAAAATTAAACCAATAACATTGTCTAGCCTTTTAGTGCAGTTTTGGGCTTTTCAGCAATTTCCGATGAAGGAATGCGGAAAATACGCGTATCGTTTTCACGAACAGTGGGGATACAGCAGTTGGCAAAATAAATTACAACAGCCAATCAGTTGGTAAAATTCTATTCTTTAGAAATTTCTAACCAATATCATTGTCGTAAAGGTACTTTAAATTTAAAATTATCAGCTATAATATATTTTGTCAAGCCCTCAGACATTGATGTTCACCAAGAATTCGTTTCATTTACATTGTTGAAAAGCAGACCTTACAGTGTTTCGCCAAATTTTTTTAAGGTAGGTTACGTTAGCTTTATGAAATGTTAACTAGTAGTTATCTATTTATACATGTATGTAAGCAACAGTTTTAGTTGTAAAAGTTTATTAGACGACATAAATCACTATATAGAATGTGAGACAACAAAAGAAAAGGCAAGGCAACATAATAGATATTTTGAAAATGAATCATAGCAAATAAACTACTTTTCTTTGGATTAATTAAAGCTTTCTTAACGTAGATATAAAACCTATACGATATATCAAACAAGTTTTTCCTGGGTGACGCCCAGCTTTACCTAAATTCCTTAATAATTCTGCTTCATTTCACAAATGCCTCATTCAATACTTTCAATTTATTTTGAAATTTAATTGGAATGAATATATGGGAAATCGACCATTTCTATGTCATTAAGTTAAATGGATAATTTTAAAAAGGAAAATGTGGCCAAATGCTGCAGATTATTCACTAAAAAGCGCTTCATAAGGTTACGGCATTAGCTGACAAAAATTATCTTTGTATGGCTAAATTGTATTTGAGGTGTTTTGAATTTTAATATATGCAATGACTTATTTTGCCAACCTCACTGGGAACAATGTCCGTATAAGGATATCAAATTGAACGATTAACTTTCCATCATCGTTTATCGACTGTTTAATAAGTGCACGAAAATGAACAAACGGAACAAAACTTTCGCGATAAATTTGTTCTTTTATGCTCAAACACTAAATAAATTTACATAAAAATGTAAACACAAGGGGTTGCTTAGGATATAAACTTCTAAATTTTATCAGAATAAAGTAGCTACTAACATTTAATGGAATAAAAATGCCTGGAACTGGAAGAAAATAATTTCCTTCCAGTTAACAACTAATACTGAACTTATAAACTCTGTGTTATTTCATGTTGTGATGACTTGAAGTATAATCGGCTCGATGCAAAAACTTCCGGCTTTCGTATTACCAGTAATAAAATATGTTTTTAAATTAGCAAATTTTTTATGAATTTTAGCCACTGCTAGATTACATAAATCTAAAAACCAAAATAGTTAACGTGAATAAGAACATAAATGCCCAAATTTGTAATAAAAATGCTGTAAAAAGAGTAAATTTCGTAAAAGATTATCTTGACTGAAGAGATGTTTCAGGAATTCGATTCTATGAAGCATTTCCCGATGAGCGAATGCAGAAGATTCGTGAACCATTTTTACCAAGTTTGGGAATTAAGCGGTCAAGAAAATAAGTAAATGTCCATTGATTAGTTAGATTTTATTAAATAGAAATTTTTAATTGCTAAAACGTAGACATAACAGTGTTCACCAGCACTTTGTTTGATATAACATTGATTAAAAGCAGACAATTAAGTAATTCAAATAATTTCTTCTCGAAGGCATAATAAAGTTACCTTGCCAGTGAAATATTAACGAGTAGCTGTCTACATATGTATGTAGGCAATATACAGCTTAGATCGTCAACATTTATGTTTGATGTAACATAGTCCTAATTCTAAACTGACGGGTTTCGTTTTTATAATGGAAAAAACGTATCTAAAATCTATTTAAATATAAAAATATCACAAATGTATATGCTATACTTTAAAGATTATGAAGAGCATCCAATTGCGTACAATTTTTATATAAATGTACTAATTGAACGATAAAATTTTTATCAATTTTTATCAAAAATTTACAATGTGCACGAAATAGAAAGAGGAATCCTTTAAAGTTACTTCGTGAAAATACAATTGCTTAATGATATAAAGTACTTATATGTAATACTTGAATGTTGTCGAAAGGAATGTGACCGTGTACAATTTACATATAACTATATATATTTGCATATAAGTTTAATTACAACGTACTGCAGAGGTACAGCTTTCAACACTATTCATCTATGTCTAAACTACAAATGTGAATAAAGTTCTAAAATGATCTCATCAAGAACGCGTCAAGATGAAAAACGAAAACTGGCAATAACGAACTTTCAGTCAAACAGTCAACAACTTCCGCAATTAGTTTGGCTAAAAACTTCTTTTAGTATTTGACACAAGTTACCTTATGTCATTATGTGAAAGTTTCGTGTTGAACAGACGATACTTGTTCTCATCACAACATATTTACGAGAATTAAGAAAATGTTTATACAGTTGGTCAATGAAAACTTTTTGCTTTAACCTATCTTTGAATCATTTATCATTATGTACAATCACAATTTTCTCTCGTATATAACCATTCTGTTATACACATCAACTATATTTAAAAAACAAAACATTTTCATCGCAGTAGACTTAACTGTTTTGCAATATAATAGCCCTAGACAATATGGTGTTAGCGAACGAGAAGTTATTAAAATCATACTTCATATCATCAAAACATACATAACAAAAGAGTACATTGTTGGAAATATGAGTCGAGCCAAGCCCTTACCCCAATGCCAGCCCTTAACAGTTCCAATAGGTTTTCGATATCAAAACGCTAATTTATTCAAAAAGAATTAATAAGATTTTACACATGTTATTCAAAAAAACTTTGACACTTCACAGAATGACTTTCCCTGTGGAAGCAGAGCTGCTCCCTTTGTCAAAATCCGTACACGAAGAGGTTCAGCTGCTAGGAGAAAAACTTCCGAGACAATCTTGTTCTTTAATGCTCAAATATATTTTGTATATATACAAACGAAATTTATCTGAAAATGAAAAAAACAAAGAGTTACAAACCGATAAATTCCGACAGATGTTCTAATTTTTAATAAGAAAAAATGCCTAAAAGAGAATGTTTTTCTTTAAGTTGACAACTTTAAGTTGACAACTATTGCTGAACTCATACACTCTAAGTTATTTTCTATGTTTTAATGACAAAAAGTGTCATCAGTTCAACACAAAACTTGGGGCTTTATTGTATTACCCGGTAATAAAACATATTTTTGAATTTGAAATGTTTTTGAACTTTAGCTGAAACATAGAATTCAGAAACCCAATATAGTTAACCTAAATAAGAACATAAATGCATAAAATTGTAAAAAAAATTCTGCAGAAGAAGTACAATCAGTAAAAGATTATGCTGATTGAAAAGATTTTTTATGAAATTGGGGCTATATGTGGAATTTCTCAATGAAGGAATGCGGAAGATCCGTGTACCATTTTTACCAACAATGGGAATCCAGCCGTCAGCAAAATAAATAAATACCCATTGATAGGTTAGATATTATTATTTGTTTTGATAAAACATACCATTTGTTAATAAAAAGACTTTGCCAAAAGTTAGATACACTAGTGTTCACCAAGACTTCGTTTGATCTACGTTGATAGGAAGTGCAAATGTTTTAGTAATTGAAAGAATTTTCCCAATGAAAGCAAGTTGCCTTTTGAGTGAAATATTAACTAGTAGTCGTCTATTTATGTACGTAGGCAACAGATTTTAATAAACCATCATTAAAATTTTGTGCATTGCGTTACATATATATAAAAATATCTTTATAGGGAAATCAACTATTTTTTATTTTGAAGACGACTACATTAAATTTATATTATAGGTTTGTCTACACTTGTAATTGTTGGAAGTAAAGTTTCAAATAATTGTTTAGCATGACTAAAGATGCACTATTGTAGTAATTTATTTCTTGAGTAACTATTGTTGCTTTTTAATGTTTTGTTATTGATGTTTATTGCAAGTAACTAACTTGTATGTAATAACTTATTACTTTCATCAACTTCAAAAAGTTTTAAAGTTGTAGCTGATGTACTGCCACCGTATTAAAATTTTGTACATTGCGTTACATATATATAGAAATATCTTTATAGGGAAATCAGCTATTTTTTATTTTGAAGACGACTACATTAAATTTATATTATAGGTTTGTCTACACTTTCAATTGTTGGAAGTAAAGTTTCAAATAAATGTTTAGCATGACTAAAGATGCACTATTGTAGTAATTTATTTCTTGAGTAACTATTGTTGCTTTTTATTGTTTTGATATTGATATTTATTGCAAGTAATTAACTTGCATGTAATAACTTATTACTTTCATCAACTTCAAAAAGTTTTAAAGTTGTAACTGATGTACTGCCGTCTTTGTATATTAAGAACAATAATTAAATGAATAACAATAACAATAATGATGATATATTTTCAGAAAGAAAATGCTGCAAAGGTTGCGCGGTTTATTCACTGAAACAGCGTTTCGTTATGTTGGTGCTAAGACGCAATTGTTGACAAAAAGTACCATTCAATCGCTAAAACATACAAAAGGCCTTCCCAACTTGACGGTATTGTCTGCACGGCAGCTACATCTGTCCTTTCATTTAAGAACTACCAAAGGTATGTGTCACACATAATACTTGTCCAGATTTGAGATTTGGATTTGAACATGTTGCACTTACAGCCATAAGCAATCAAAAATAGGAGAACAGGAAAGCTGGAAGCTATTTCATATTTTTATCTTCTTAAAGGAAACCATAATCAATTTACTTAGGTGTAAAAACCACATCCAGCAACAATTTTAAAAGAGACTGAAGATAACTATCGCTAAGGTTGTCGAAACGTCAGTTTACATCAACACCAACAGTTCTTCTCAGGACTCCACTAACCTGGAAAATCTACATCTACAAACGTTTAATGATACTCCTGGGCTCAAACCATTCACCATAATTTTAAATGATTTAAACGAAGCAGATTGCGAAAAAATAGCCATCAATACTCGAATTAAATTTTGGACTTGTTTTCAAAAGTGTATTACGAAGGCTTTGAAATAAAGCCAAAAATTTACAAGTGCTTAAATTCAAGATTGGTATTTTCTTTGGAATCTGCATCTTTTTAGAAATAAGATGCTTCACTTAAAATTATTACTTATCGTAGATGAAGAATATCTTACGGCATTATCAAAGCAATTGAAGCCATATCCGATATTCAACGATCCAATTCATGGCATCATCGAACTTCATCCTTTGTTGGTTAAAATTATCAACACAACACAGTTTCAACGTTTAAAAGATATCAAGCAGTTGGGAATATGTGATTATGTTTATCCAGGGGCAACTCACACTAGGTAAGGCTATTGATAATGAAATTATCGTATAATTTGGTGATACAAGTATTTCCAAACTTTACATATGCAACATATTTAAAGTGACATCTTATTATAAACAGATTCGAACATTCCCTTGGAACATCTCATTTATGTGGGAAATTGATTGATACATTACACGAGCTTCAAGGAGAAGAGATTGATATCACAGAAGAAGAACGCTTATGCGTCAAAATAGCCGGTCTTTGCCACGATCTTGGCCAAGGACCGTTCTCTCATTTCTTTGATGAAGTGTACTTGAAAATGGTAAAACCTGAATTGCAGTGGAAGCATGAGAAAGCATCGTGTCTACTTTTTGGTTTAATGCTTGATGAAAATCCAAAACTTAGGGAAAGTTTTAGGAAAAATGGTCTTGACGAGGAACATGAATCTTTCATCAAGGAACTTATAGAAGGTTTGCAAAAAAATGGATCTCAGCCCATGAACTCAGTCTTCATTTTTGTTTGAAATTTATGAAATAACAATGCACTCAAAATTATACATGTTGAAATTAATGGATTTTTATTCCTTATCTCCTGGGTAGTGTTCGTTGGTATAAAAAAGATAGTTGTAAACAGAAAATGAAACGTTTCCATTTTTGAATTTACATCTCATTCTATTAATTGTTGATTTTCAATCCGACCTTTTTGTATTTATTCCTTAAGAGCCCGGCATTTCTTCCTAAAACATTTTTCATTCGGCTTTCTGATAGTAACACAATTGTCACACCAGGCATTATGGGCTATACAAACTATGCTCGCTTCCTGCCACATCTGTAAAAATCACAACTCACCCTGATGTTTTGACGGGGTTTTGCAGGTAAACAACCCGACGACAAAAAAGAGGTGACAAGAAAATGTAAAAAGACAGGCAAACCAAAATGGTTTCTTTATGAAATAGTAGCGAATAAACAAAATGGCATTGACTGTGATAAGTTTGATTATTTCGCCCGTGACTGCGCTAATGTTGGAGTGATAACTACCTTCGATCATCGACGCTACTTCAAGAATGTTCGCATCATGCCTGTGAAAAACCAACTTCATATCTGCGTTCGGGACAAAGAGGTGTTTAACCTGTACGAGTTGTTCCACACACGTTGGTCCTTCCATCACAGGGTTTGTCAGCACAAAACTAAGGCACCAATAGAACACTTGCTAGCTAAGGCGTTGCAAAATGTTGACCAAATCATGGGAATTTCAGAAGCTGTGAACGATATGAAGCGATATACTCTCTTAACAGACAGCATTCTGTATGATATATTACGAAATGAGAGCGAGGAGTGTGCTGTCAGAAAAGCGAAGGAGCTGATAAGACGCATACAAGAACGAAAAATTTACAAATTTTGTGGTCAAACTCAGCCACCGTCAGATGCCGAATGTCCTATCAAAGACAAAATCGAGAAAGAATTGGCTGAAATGTCAGAAGGAGTGATAGGAAAAGAAGATATATTTGTTTCCATAGTTGAATTTAGCTATGGAATGAAAGAGAAAGATCCAGTCGATGCAGTGACCTTTTACAACAAATTCCTAGAACACACGCAAATAAGTAAAAAGCAAGTGAGTAAAATTCTGCCAAAAAAATTTCTGGAAAAATACATCAGAGTTTACGCAAAAAATCCTGAACAAAGAGACCAGGTAAAAGATTTGTTTGAGGATTGGTGTTTCAAGCAAGGCTTCCCAAAAACTTTCGGAAGATAGAAGAAAATCAAAAACCATTTAATGTCGGTAGTAGCTATGTCTACGTATCACTGTTGCAATCAATAACTAAATCACAGACATATGTCGTATGAATAAAATGTGCAATTCGTATATCACTGAAAACAGCAAAAGTAGTCGGAGAATAATTATTAGTATTCACAAAGGAACAAACAATATATTAATCTTCACTATACATAGTTTATGTTAGATAAGCACAAAATTGTATCAAATTTAATAAAATGATTCAAAAATAGCTACTATGATAAAATTTCAACTTTTATCTAAAAATGTATCTGTATAGCCCTACTACTTGTTTTATAATACCCGATTTATATAACACTGTATTAACGCAGTATTTTAAAATGAAAACATCTTTTTGAATTTTAAGAGTACGAATTGCAAAAATGAACGAATTTCAAAATCAAAATAACACAAACTAACAAATTGACCACAAGATCTAGGTTGCTATAGAATGATGCTATACTTAAAAGTCAATCAAAATCATAATGAAAGTAAAGGTTTTCGTTAGCAAATATAGCACGTAAAAAGATAAATAAACATACTGATATCAAAGCTTTTGAGATAAAACAGTAAAAAATTGTAATCTTATACTGCTGCAGCAACAGGCAGAAAAGCTAAGCCGGAGAATAGATAAAAAAACACATAACTTTGCCGGAATTTCAGGCGGATGCTTTCCTCATCCCTCTAAACTTTACTGAGAAGATGGTTATAAATTTGGTGCCCATAATACCAGGGGCGGATCTAGGATTTTTCAAACATCAGTCATAAAACGCTCCGCACCTGGAGGGGTCCGAGGCATTCTCCCCTGAGAAATTTTGAATTTTAAAGCCTTGAAAATGCCATTTTCAGCGTTTCAGAACAATAGAAAATGTATTTTATGGGCATTGTTTTTGCGTAAAAACAACACATTTTGCCTACGTTTTTTTCAAAAAAAAAAATGAAGAGAACAATACTTGAATGTTTTGCAAAATATTTAGGCTCATTATCATGCCAAATATATGGCTCATTAGCATGTCTAGGAACGTAAAATTTATTTTACAATAATGCTATTCAAAAACCGATATAGTCTTTAAAAATGTCTACCAAATTGTCAGGTATAGACCCCACAGGGACCCTCATTCAAACCTCTATGTAATGAATTAAGTTAGAAATTTCGTACTACAAGTGACAGTTCATAAAAATAGAAAAGCTCAGACTTCAAACCATGCAAGTTTATTGTAACCCTTTATCCATCTCCACATCAGTGCCAGCAAATTCACCTTTTGAGAAAAAACTCAAAATTTTTTCTGCCAAATTTTAAGCAAAAAGTATCAGAGTGAAAATTTGCAGTTAAGGACAGCTTAATACCATAAATGTTTATTAGGCATTTCGCTAGACTATTATCTTCTGCAAGGTGTGCTATATAGCAATCACTAGTAGCATTGTATGATCAAATACAAACAGAATGTAACCAACATGTCTTTAATTATATAATTACATGAATGTTAAAATTGCATCATGTGTCATGCGTACTGGTTATGATAAATATCTTTTCATATGATCAAAGCTCATTTGAATATAAATCTGAAATAATTACCTAAATCTAAAATTACCTAGTGATCATAAAAAATACTTTTGCCAAATTTCAAGGTTTATCTGCATACATAGAAAGACATTTTTACTTTATAGAAAATGCTTTTCATACATCAATAGCCCTTTGGAATTTATGGCAAACAATCTGGTATGAGCCGTAGCATAACACACCTTTACATCTCTGCATGAGGTGTTCAGTTAGAAAAGGGGACAATATGTGACATGAGACAACATTTCATGTATGTGAGATACTCAGGTTTAATACCATTCCAGTTTAATTGTCAAAATAAAAAGCTTCATGGATCAGAAGACTCAAAATCACAGGTTATAGTAAACAGCTTCTCATGTAATCAATGTTAGTTTTCTCAAATCTTAGACAATATGTAGTATAACTGTCCAATGATTGAATGATCAATGATCATAAACTGAAAAGCCCCAAACATTTGTTTGTGATAAAGTAAATAATAGTATGGCGCCTTATGGCCACAGATTTTTTGTCCATTGAAATATATTTTCAGGAATGTAGGATTTCGCTGCCATATAACGACCACGATTTCCCAAGCACTAATGAAATCATAGCTAAAAGTACTTCGGCAACAACATTTTTAGAAGCATCAATCTGCTTACCATACGGCATATTAACATAAATCGCATCACACACTCGCATAAATTGACTTTGATATATTACATTCATGCATACACTTCACTTGTCCTTTACTTACGATTTTGGATGTAATTTTCTGCTGATAAAACTGAAAACAATGTTGGCTTTCTTTTGAACATCAATGACTGAAATGTTGCTCGCGGGATCGTCTTTGCCAAGCATTTACAATTTATTCATAAATTTTTCACCTTCTTGAAAAAATTCACAGTTTCGACAGCAGCATTCATGTTAATATATGAATTTCTAAAAGATTTTCATAAATTCCATCAATTGTAGTTTAGTTTCTATCACGCTTATAAAAATTACTATGAAACGATCAAACATTCCAATCACACAGTAAGCTTGACCATGTTAGTTCAGTTGGCTATCAGTCGAGATCCGTCAAACCAATCACAATAAAACAAAAATTCAAATGAATCAATTGTAAGATGGCAATTGGACTCCCTTATACGTCCGGCCACCCCTCTTATCGGTCGAGACCATTCCAGACTGTCCACTGATCTGGCCATTGACTAATAAAATAAGCGTTTTTGGCGTTCATAGACTCCCTTATCAGTCGAACCAGTCAAGCCACCCCGCTTATCAGTCGGTTAATCCAGGTCAATTAAAATTCAACTTATCTGGTTACCAACGAAATATTCATTGATTAGTCATAAGTTTTCAATAATAAATAAAATTGGATTTTTATCACGAAGTAAATGCGATAATAAAGTGAGAATAATTAATAAATTTTTAATTAATATAAATAGGTAATTTTTGAATTTCAAACATCAGTCGCGCGACTGATTTGACATACTCTAGATCCGCCCCCTGCATAATACAGCTATTATGTGTTTCTTTGAAACGGTATTCAAAGAAATTATTATTTCTTTTTTACTAATCTTGATGGAACCGATTAAAGTTTTTCAATTACGAATCCTAACCCCCCTTTTTTTATTAGCTAAATTAAAAAGAATAGGTTTCAGGGATTTTCTTTCTGCAATTATAATTCAATTCTGATTTCAAGAAGTAACTTATTAACGTTCGAATTTGCAATTTTCAGGCATACTTTTGCAAACTTTTTGATGGTATATTAATAAGTTGTAACGTAGATAGTTGAACACATAGATTTAATAGAACCTAGATTGCTAACGCACATCGCACGGCCGTAGCAAATTGAGCATTCCAAGATGGCGTCTAAAGCAGGCAAAAAGACCATATTTTGTATTTCAAAAAATGATGTTTTTTGTATTTTTCGTCGTCGTACCCTTTCCATCCTAGTTCTAGCCACCTTTTTAAGAAATGGGATGACATTGCTCAGTTTCTGGATGTATATTTGTAATAAACACGGCAAATATCGCTTTGTCAAATTTTTGCCAAGTGGTCACTTGGCAAATCAAATCGAGCATTACAATGCATGAAATACCGAGTTTGGTTTAAACTGAATTTCTGTAAGGTGATTTATGATGAAGGCAAAAACCATAAGAGCAAATAAGCAATGTTTCATAGATCCAGTGACTTATTTAAGTATGTCTTACTATATTACATTAAACAACTGAAGGAAAATTGACAAAAGTTTTACGTTTCATAAAAAATATTAATATATTACACAAATTGAAGTATTTTACAGCTATATACCTTACATTTTCATATCATGGCAACATTAGCGTCCTGTGCACAAAACTATTACACACATACAGGCCACAGAAACGAGTGTGGTTGTCATTATGAATAATGAAATAGTATGAAATCCATTTACCTCAATAATAATAATAATAATAAGGACTTTATTTGAAGAGGGGACACGTAACAGCTGAAAAGCTGACAAACCTGTGGCCCTCTAACTAGATTGTAAGGCATTACAAAAAACTGATAAATGAATAAATACATAAATAATTACAAAATTCTATGATAAAAATAGCAGGACACATAAAAAATATTCAGAAAGAAAAAATTAATTTATAAAAAATTAAAATTATAATTAGGTAGTGTGCTATTGCTTAATATTGTTTCAAAGTTGTCCAGGTTTTGATATGAGCTATAAAATGCTTTTTCACAGCTGTTTTGAATAGATTAATACTCAGGCTTTTTTGATATCATGGGGAATTCCATAACTAACTGCGTCAACACTGAATGCCTTAAGCACCTCATCGTTCATTTCTACTCATTTGGGACACACTAAATTTAAATTGCCATGTCTCGTGGACGTATTGTGAACAGAACTGTTCGTCTTGAACAAATCTTTGATATAAATAGGAACATCGCATTTTAGGCTCTTAAAAATCATGGCACATTTGTTTAGTTTTATTTCGTCAAAAAAAGGCAACCAGCCTAGTTTACTAAAGTTTACAACACTAATATGTCATGGCTGCAACATTTCTTGCAACAGCATTTTATGGTTCTAAACCATATCTTAACTAATATACGAGTTGAACTATTTGTATCATAAGTGCACTCAATATCAGTCGTGACAATTTGTTTCGTAAACATTTACCAAATTAATTGAAAAGCCTATTAGTTAATTTAATATCATTAACTCTCATTCATTATTATTCATCTTCTCCTGTGATATTAACACATTGTATCGAACCTCAAAAGTCTAGTCTCAGACAAATAGATAACACCATCCAAAAGCCGATACATAGGGTCCAGTTGATCAAACCTACTATAACTTTGGCAAATAAGTAGTACGTCAACCTGCTTCACGATGCACATCCCTTACGAAAATTATCAATAGGAATTCCTATTAAAACTTTCTACAGGATCCTATTGGAAATTGGCCCATGAGCCTATAGGAATAATCTATAGGATGCTGTAAGAACCTATAGGAATTCTACACCCTATGTTAGTTCTTACAAAAGGAATCCCATTGGAATTCCCACAAGTTTTCCTAAACAAATTATTGCTATAAGAATTTTACCTGATCTCCAAATTCTATTAAACTTCCTATAGGATCCCCATTGGAAATTGGCCTGTTCCATAGAACAACGTGTAGCATGCTTAGGAACCTATAGGAATTCATATATGACTCTACAAGAATTCCTATACGAATTTCTTACAAAGAATCCTATTGGAATTCCTGCACAAGCATTCCCATACAAATTTGTACAACAACTGCAATAAGATCCTGCAAGAATTGTATAAGAATTGTATTCGGCGAAAATTCCCACAAAACCTTTTAAAAGAATTTTGTAAAGAGGCTAAACTATTGCTTACAGATTACAACAGAATTTAATCGTATTTTTATAAAATCTCACGTGAATTGCTACATAATCTAATTGTCATGGGGAGTTCTAAACATACATAGGAATTCTACATGATTTTAAATGACAGTTTTGCCCCACAAGTTTCTATAAGACTTGAAAGACTATAAATTCTACAGATCATAGATGATAAGTCATAAAAACAGACACATGACTGTAGATGACCATTAAATATATAGAAAACCAACAATTTAATAGAACTTTAAAAATTTTAAACTTGCATACGTTAATAAAATTGCAAAATTACCAATAATAATACAAATAACGTATATGTATGTATAACTAGAAAAAAACATGAAAATTATCTATCAAAAATAAAAATTATGTTAAATCAGTTGGGTACGCTACTACTTTTTTAATTTTTTACATCTTTCGCTGTTGTTTAGCTTTGCCTTTATGAATCCTTTCACCATTTTTTTGTCAGGTAATCGAAATTTTTGCATTGCATTAGCCTTTGAAAAACAATCTGCGCTCAGCCAATCAAATCAATCAATCAATCTAAAAGATGTTGCAAGTCCATCATGAATACATGTTAAAAGAATATTAGAACGTTTTCTCTGTTTCGCATTATTGTTATTTTGAAAAGAAATAAAAGATATTTTTCGTTTGCACTGGCTTATGCAAACCTCGGAGACGTTTTGAGAACTTTCGAGCAGGTGCAACCCTCAACGTTCTGGCTTGCACTGATCTGCAAGTTCTCCCAAAGGTCTCCTTGATTGGATAAGACTATGCAAACACAGTAAACATCTTTATATTTAAAAAATAGTTTGTAAGATGCTAGATGAGCTTGAATAGTTATTGTAATGTATTTAGAAAACAGTCTGGCAAAATTTTGTTTCATTAACGCTTTAATCAATGGAACACATATTTAAAAATTAGATTCAATTTCATCAAAATGATCAAGAGACACAGGCACAGGCATGTCAGGAGAATGGAAAAATTGATGTTGATTTCCAGCTTAGTAATAATGGCCTTGGACATGAAGCACTGCAGGTGAATGTGAAACATCATACAGTACGTAGAACCAGGGTAGGCAGAAGATCAAGGATTGGGAAAGAGGGCTAATATTCACTTTTTTGTGTGTGTTCTATTTTATCAATTTTGAAATCCATTTTAATTATTGATTATGGTACATGAATATATTAACATGAACTTCCTCCCCACCATATAATAGCTACTACATTCCGATTTACACTCAGAATTTGTATTTAGGTTTTAAACATCGAAAATGGTGATGAAGAAATATATCCTGGTGCTCTTATAACAAAGTCTCAAAGTGTTCTCCTGCTCGTCGCATTTTTATTAAAGAACAATTTAACAGATGCAGCTTTGACTGATCTACTCGACATTTTGAGTTTGATTTTGCCGAGCACGTTTCCATCCAGCAAGTATAAGTTCTACAAAGCAATTCAAGTGGAGGAATCTCAGGTAAAAGAAAACTATCTTGAATTTTTCTAATATGGTTTTCTTTATAACGACTTTCGACTGGAATACGTAGTTAGCTTCGTGCATTTAATATCTTAAAATTCAACTTTATTTTGTGCAATTTAAAGAAGAAAAGTGGTGAAACAATTCGAATTCTGCATATTTAGGGCTTGTATTCTTGATGAAAATGATCGAACTGGATTAGAACTAGCGGCAAATAACGTTACGGATTTACAGTTTATATCCCTCCTGAAAAATTAATTGTTATACTTTGCAGGCTCATTTTATTGCGAGTCATGTTTGTCGTACATTGGAACAAGCGCAGAAAGCACAAAGTGTGATGAATGTGATACACCTTTCAATCGCGAAAACAGCATGAAGAACGGCACCTTTTTCTTCATATTCCACTAAAGAACAACTTAAGCAGCTCCTGTCTGATCCCATTCTTTATGAATATTTAACCAACAGGAATTTGGAAATTTTGACTGAATCAACTGTTATATCAGACGTAACTACGGGTAAACTATATAAGAGCCTGATAAGGGATAAAGCTATGGCGAAAATGACATTTCTTTAACTTGGAATGCAGATGGCATTCCTGTTTTAAGTCATCACAATACTCTATTTGGCCTATCAATGTATGATAAACGAGTTACCTCCTCACCTTCGTTCCAAGAATATTCTACTTACAGGTTTGTGGTTTGGTGCGACAAAACCACAGATGAACACTTTTCTTGAAGCATTTGTGAACGAATGCCATGATTTGGAAAAAAAGGGATTTCTTTTACGTGAAGAAATTATACCTCGCAAAGTTTTCGCATTAGTATGTTCCAGCGACAGCCCAGCTCGTGCAATGTTGAGAAACTGCAAGCAGTTTAATGGTAAGTACGGGTGCGATTGGTGTGAACATGAAGGTGTGTCTGTTCTCCGTAATAGAGGTCCTCCAACTCGTTACTATCCACAGCGTGGTCATCAAAGCTCAAGAACGTCACAGAATCAAGCTGAATATGCTTTCGAAGCTGAAATGAGAAAAGAAGCAGTTAATGGGGTAAAAGGGCTTTCGCGTATCGACATTCTTCCCACATTTGATACAGTGAGAGGCTTTACACCGGAGTATATGCATTCTGTGTGTCAAGGAGTAGTCCGTCAACTGTGCAATCTTTGGCTTGATTCGAGAAACCACGAAAAGAACTTTTATTTGGGAAGAAACGTCGAGCTATTAGATGAACGTTTGTCTGTAATATGCCCGCCTTCTGAAATAACTAGAGCCCCTAGATCAATAAAAGAGCGAAAATTTTGGGAAGCGTCGGAGTGACGAGCATTTCTTTTTTATGGTCTTGTGGTTCTAAATGGCTTGCTTCCTCGTGAATATTTAGAGCATTTGTTTTTGCTAGTACATGGTGTACATACATTACTTGGTAATAGAATTAGTGATGAAATGTTATCACGAGCCAACGCATGCCTTGTTAAATTTGCAACTGATATGGAAAAGTTGTACGGTTTGACTAACTGTACATTCAATGTACACGTTATGACGCATTTAGCGGAAGGCGTAAGGAACTGCGGGCCACTTTGGGCTACTTCTGCCTTTGCATTCGAAGCCAACAACCACTTTTTGCTGAAAATGTTTAATGGTACCCAATATGTTCCACAACAGATTTGCGATACTTTTATACTGTCGCAGAAACTACCAGGTATTGGGAAAGAGTGTATTCGTGATGACGCATGTCCAAGAGTAAGGCACTTGTTCAATAAACTTTCCAAAGACAAAATTCCTACAAATAGTGAACGGGCCCTTACTAGAGCTGTTACTGGACTTGAAATGGACAAGCTGTTCGTCTACACCATCTGAGACCATTTCCGTGGCAAAAATGATTAACAGAGACGTTGCCAATCGATCAGCTACTTTTTATAACAGATTTATTGTAAATCATGTGCTATACACTTCGGAAAGTTATACAAGATCCCAAAGACACCATGATTATTATGTGCAAATCGACAGCTCAACTACCAAGTATAGTATCGTTGTTGGGCTTTACCGTGTACAGCCAGACTGTCAATGCAGCACTGCTGAATTACAGGCATGCCAGTGCGAAGTATATTATGTTGTGATTGTGAAAAAACTTGATTTGTGTGGAGGAAGACCGCTGTTTTCCAACAAAGAATGTGGTATTACTTCACATTTCGTAAGAGAGTGTACAAACAGAGACCAAATTGTGGCTCTCAAACCTGACCAAATTAAAGACAAAGGCGTACACTTAAAATTACGAAATCGAGACTTTTTTTTTGAATTGCCATGTAAGTTTTACTGCGATTAACTCAAAATAGAAAGGATTGCTGTTGTCTTTCATTTTTTGTAAGTTTGAGAATACTCGACTGGACAGATATTTTAGATACACAGTATTTGTTGCATGTTGTATATATGACGCGTAACTCTAAACAGATAACTTCTTGTATATCGTACAAAGCTTTGCTTATAATGCATGCCACTACATATGTTTTAAATTGTTTATAATCATTAATTTGTACTATAGCTCTTTTGGAATGTGTTGTTTTATTCATATCATACAGAAAAATATGTAAATTCCATTTCACTGTCGTAACAGTCAACAAGACATTCCCAAAACGATTTTTTTATTACAAATGAAAAAATCCAACTTCATCTCACAATAATTTTTTTTAGCTAATTCAAGGATGATTTGAGTTTGTTATTTTTACATTTTTCCCATAGCTTTTTGTGTAAGAATTTGAAAATATATTTTTCTATAAGTTTGCAAATTCCTGTGAATTTTTCTAAAGCGCTTCTTATAAGAATTCTCTTTTTCTATGAGATTTCACATTGTAATAGGAATCCCTGAAGGAATCGCATACCAACTATAACAAAGCAAACAACTTAATTCAATGGTGGCGAAATCGAAAATCAATTCCTCTTCAATTGCATGCTGTTGGTGTTCGTAATGGTTGTAAAAACTCATTATCTAATGACTAAATTTCGACATGTTTTGTTGCTCTGCTTTGAGGAGTTTAATCAATGTCAGCTCGTAAAGCTGTTGTTTAATTTCGACATGTTTTGTTGCTCTGCTTTGAGGAGTTTAATCAATGTCATTGTAAAGCTGTTGTTTAAATTCTGGTAAAGAATTCAAACATCAGCAGCCTTTGATTCAAGAGATGACATTATCATTGTCTTTACACAACCACCAACTATACCCTATATATTTCGATTGCTATATATGTTTTCTAATAACATTTCCAGGAGAATTCCTATAGGAATTTTAATATTCATAAAGGTTTTAATTCCCACTATTTTTTTAAAGGATTTCCAGTCGGAATTGCAAAACAAATCACCATTATGGATTCCTATAGGATTTCCTACAGGAATTCAAATATTCTTATAGGCTTTAAAATTGCCGCCATTTTTTTAATATATTTCCTATCGGATTCGGAATAAAAATGAATTCCACTCTGCCTTCCTATAGGATTTCCTACAGGAATTTAAATATTCCTATAGGCTTTAAAATTGCCGCCATTTTCTTAATATATTTCCTATCGGAATCGGAATAAAAATGAATTCCACTCTGCCTTCCTATAGGATTTCCTACAGGAATTTAAATATTCCTATAGGCTTTAAAATTGCCGCCATTTTCTTAATATATTTCCTATCGGAATCGGAATAAAAATGAATTCACTCTGCCTTCCTATAGGATTTCCTACAGGAATCTTATATTCCTATTGGAATTCTAATAAGATCCTATTGATAATTTTCGTAAGGGATACACTGTGTAGTTTCATAAAAATGTATATTTGACAGCCTCAAGTGTTTTGACTATTAAGATCTTTGGCTGTTTCTGACTTTTTTGGTGTATGTTACCAATTAAATCAGAAGTCCAATAAGCGCACATCAATATTTTTAACTTTTTGTTTTTTCCTTCTCATGAAAATGTCTGGAATAAGTCAAGACTTAAGAAAACTGCTATCATTGGACTTGTTACAACTCGTTAAAAATTTGACGAAGCAATATTTGTCGTGTAATTCATTTGATGCATTCAAGTTTACATCCAGAAACTCTGCAATGTCCTCCCATTTCCAAAAAATTGGCTAGAACTAGGATGGAAGGGGTACAACAACGAAAAATGCGAAATACCTAAATTTCGTAATAGAAATTATACCTCTTTTTCCCGCTTGAACCGCCATCTTGGAATGTTCAATTTGCTACGGCTGGCTACTATTGAGTTCTATAATAACTGGAGCAGCTATCTCAAGCACGGCCTTAGATATCTGATGACGTTAAAAAACGGCGGATTTCGTCATTTGCCGCTGAGATTTACCGAAATTGACCACTTTTCCGAAAATTTTGCAATTTCCCACTCCCTCCCGAGGAAAGAGTGAGAAAAATGTATGTGTGTATTTGGGATTCGGCAAGCAATTTTTTGATGAAAATCAAGGTAAAAACCTTAAATCCATAACAGCGAATCAACTGTGGTTATCAGTTATCTGCTCCTACGAGGATGCATTTATAACTATCGCCGAAAGAGCTATGTGCCGGCTACACATGTATGAATGCAAATGTGCTTCGTTTTCTTACCAGCGTCAAACTTGTTTGATCGATTAAACTCTTAATCTACACAAAAAAGTATAACATAGTTCATCTCTACGGTTCACGAGAGAGAAGTTAGCTTATTTGTTATCGTTGCTATTTTGCATCTTTTCATGCAATAGGCAATGGCTTTTTTCGCCACAATTGTAGGATTTTTACTTGTTTCCTTAAAAAAGTAAATATTAAATCTCTGGATATTATGGATTTTCTGTAATCGAGTTTCATACAAAAAGACTCAAGTCTGCATAGGTTTGGTAAATGAAAGCAAACAATATTGTATAGAAATTACTTTAAGTAACCTTTTTGTCATGTTCTGAAGTGCAACTGCATCAAATACTTGTAAAGTTGTAGCACATTTTATATTTGTTGTATTGATATATAAATTGGGCAAAATGCAAATAATCGTCAAAACACTTATACTTCCAGTGGTGTTTATAATTCAATTGTAGTTTTAATACTTCTACCCTTCTTTTTCACTTTGTTTTGTTTTTCCTATATTTGTAATATAAATGCACAATTTGAATGATTAACACAGTTTTAACCTCATTAATAAATTTCATAAGCAATTGGTAGTGCATTTTGTTCTATGAGGATCCATATCTGGTGCTTTGTTCATACAAGAATGATAAAGTGAAAGTAGAATTGTT